TATAAGATCCAATAGTACATTTATACAAAAGAGTACATTATTTATATGTTTTCCTCAATCAACTTGGTTATTACTATTCATATAAATGGCTGATGCAATGCGAACACATCATAATCACAGAGTTTATTACATGTCCATTTCAAACTGTTCTGCCGATTCCTCTATAGCTGGTGTATCTGTAATAAATATGAAAAATTATAACGAATATATTTATCGTGTTCGTTATTATATTTCAATATAGTTAAATAAACTACATTCTTATTCAATATACCATATATAGGATTCAGTTAAATTAATGCTTTTCGGATGTCTGTGAATGTATTAACAGAAACTTGCAGAATGTGTTACTGACAAATTTTGTTCTTATTGCACAATTAAGCAAAAAGGCATTAATTATTTTAATCAATTATTAATTATCACAAAAGTATTAATTAAATAATGATATTACATATAAACAAGGAAACAAAAAAAATTTTAGGTATTTTAACAAATAAATTAAAGTGTTTACAAATAAAGTCTATATACCGACCTCTGTTAGTTTGCGTTTTTGCAGGTATTATGCTATTCAAAGATGAAGTTTTCAACAATTCAGCTGGTATCGATGATATATTCTGTGGCGGTGTTCGTGATATGGGAGAATTTTGTAAATTCATCAAGAAATCACGTTCATAAACTATGCGGGTACCTGTACAATTTATATTTATATTGATTCACAATTTACTTGTATAATAATAGAATTCCTTTATATATTTATATCATTTTAATCATTCATTCAAAGTTAATATCTAATCATCTAATAAATATAATTTATGTAATGAAATTTTTTACAAATCAAAATTATTCTATATTTGTGTATTTTTACTATTTACATTGAAGAAATATTAGCGGTATAGGATCTAATAATTTATAAATATAATTTTGGTAGCTAATATTAACTTACTTAGCATATCAGGAAAATACAAATCTTTATTCACTGTTGGAATCTTTTTCCGAATTAAATAACCATNAATAAATATAATTTATGTAATGAAATTTTTTACAAATCAAAATTATTCTATATTTGTGTATTTTTACTATTTACATTGAAGAAATATTAGCGGTATAGGATCTAATAATTTATAAATATAATTTTGGTAGCTAATATTAACTTACTTAGCATATCAGGAAAATACAAATCTTTATTCACTGTTGGAATCTTTTTCCGAATTAAATAACCAT